ACATTCTCTTTGCTCTATTGTGTCCTCCAGATCGTACATCATGAGGGGTAGGCCCGCAACGGAGCTACTGTTTCTCATTTGGGCTACAGAATGTCAGAAAACTGAAACGTGCCAATCAGAGTTTTCTAACCCCAAAGTGACACCTTCAGAATACCTTAGGTCAAATCCCAAAGTTATTCAGTAAATCCTGACAACTGAGTGGTTGGACAATATTTGCCTTTTTTGCTTGAAAATGACTGAAACAATGATCTAAACAGTTACTGATTCATTTTCTGTCAGCTAGTAGTTTCAGCTCTAATGAGGACATTTAGGTGAATTAGGAAGGATGATGACTGACTTGGTGTTATTGATTTTGTTTTGGCACTGATATTATGATATTAAAAGCGAATGAATGGAAGTCTAACCCCATAATTAAGTTTATTGTCATACTTATTCCCAAAGACTTTCCCTGCGGTCCTGCATTCTTAATTTACTGCTCGCTCTCACCGTCTTACTAGTCTGGACTCACTGACTCAGGAATGTTTTCTAAAATGACAGCGATGTCCGTAAATAACAGTCTACAGAACCAAAAACCTGATTCTTGTTTCTTAGTTCCTTTATTCATATGATTAAGCACGAAAACCTGTACTTTCTATACATACCTTTACATTAATGTTGACCTGCTAACATACACCGTCGGCTATTTTCAACTCAAACTCGACAACATTTTCCTGTAACATCTTCCTGTGTTCATGCTCTTTTTTTTGCGTGTAGAAAACTTTTAAAACGTGCTTTGTGCAATCACGTTTTGTTGGCTGCTGAGGCCTGCGCTGATTTTGCTGCCTCTCTGCCAGCACATGATTATTTCATCAGCCTCCCTGCGACGACACCAGTTGAGTGCGCGGCCAGAACTGGAGCAGTGCATTCCGCTCCACTTAAACCTGTCCACTACAATGTAGTCTAATGCTATCGGTGTCATGCTGATCTGTCGTGACTGTCCTTCATTTCTTGTTCAGCCTATTAAAATCACAGAGGCCATTAGGCACGATCATGCCATAGTGTTTCCCCTGTAATTTTTTCAATTAGTGCGAGTTGAGGGTATTTATTTTGGTAGGGGTCCATCCCTTTCTTTTTTTTACTTCATACATGCGGTTCTTGTTAATGAGACCGCGATAGCAGCATTCACTGCAAATGTCAACTGTTTACTCAACAGCGTTTTCTCTGTTTTTAATTCTTGCTGCTGCAGAGCGTGACCGCTGTGATGCTTCAGTGTACAAAGAGGAAGTCCTGCTCAGTGAGACAAGCGAAATTAATCATGAACACCGGAGAACTTTCACCTCTGAGACAGTGATGTGTGAAAAGTTTGTGAAAAGTACACAGAGTTGTGCAGATGTTGGGCTGGTTTCTCTGTCCTACAAGCCCCTGTGGGTATTAACAAAAGGCATGGCCATAAACAGTAACTGTATATTTCTGTTGGAGAGAAAGGGAATGTTGACTCTGCGTTGTAGACATAGTGGAGGTTCAGATGAGGTTAGCGCTTCTGAACAGTTGTGTATTTTTAGAGTGAAACTTGTCAAGCGGGCAGGAGTTAAAAGACGAAGGGTACTGGGCCCTCCCACTCTTTTCTTTGCCCTAAATGTTCTGCATTTTCTCGAAACACAGCAACTGACAGCCAGTAACGGCATGAGCAAATCTCTACTGAGGCGAGTATACAGTGTACCGGTAGTCTGGTGTCGCTGCTAGTGTTCCTAATGACAGTGCAAAACTCTGAACCACGAAAATATACAACAAGCCTGTTTGTGGTTTCCCTTCACTATAAAACTGCACTCCGACTTTACTCAAATGTCTATGTACTCCTCCTCGCTGTGTCCTCTCAGGTTTGTCTGGTTGACCACCTTTCATGGCAGCCTCCTCCAGTTTTGTGTAAATCACGGTTTGAGTTTCATTGTACAAAAAAACTAAAAACTTTTTCTTGTTTTTCTTTGTGACGTATTTCCAGCCTACTTCTGTTCTTCTGAAGGTGGACAGATAACATTTTCGTCTAGGAATTGTACAGATATTTTGTCTTTTCAATACCATTCTGCATCATTTGTGAAATTTTCTGCCAATTAATCTATCAATACCATCGTATACGAGGATTTAACGTTTGCTGCTTGATGAAACCTGGATCAAGATGACCAGCTTCATGGGGGTATATAAAACGTATGCTACTGCTGTATGCTAGTCTGTAGGACATTTCTTTAGGATACTATGTGAGCTGTATTTACCACATTAATATGAGCTCATTTAGGTTTTCAACATGGAATTGGGATGGATGTAGAAGTCAATTTTTCCAGAAACGAGTGGTGTGATCAGAGGGGAAGCTTGATCTCATTCCAAGTGACTAGCCAACATCAAGGGAGTTCATAATTCTTTACGTCTTGAGATCTGATAAGTTACAGAACTATTTAGGTCCATACTACATGGTCAGGCTTATTTTCAGCTGTAGAGCCTGATTTAAGCCATAAATGTCTCCTCGCCACCCTTACGATCAGACTTTTTCTGTTATTCAGTGTGTCATTTATAGGGGTGGGTTTGTTTTAGCTGCTGTTTCCGGATCACAAAGGCACTCAATTACAGCAGTAGGTTCTGCCCTTCCTGATATCCACGACACAAGATAAGGAGAGTGCTGGTCACTGTTAAACAAGCACTGGCTCGGTTTCCAATAAATGTGTTGAGTAATGTAAACAAATAACTCTCGAAGCTCCTTTTACATATCTTGTGCAATGCAGCTACAGGGTTCATGTGTCGGGGCATGTGTGTTTCCATTTTCTCCTGTTACGCCTCATCTTTACGCTTTTCTGTTCTTATACAGTCTCAACTATTTTTAGTATTGGATTGACTCAGTGCCATGCACCTGAGTACCCTGATTGAACAACACATGACTGTCTGTATGAAAATCACGAGACTTTCCATACCAGCGTGCCGGGAGACAAATCCAGCCCGCCTCTGTGAAAAGAAGAAATCCTAACCACTGCACCATATGGGATGCGTCCTTTATAACTTCAGCTATCTGCGACTGTGTCATGTTTCACTGCGCACACCAATCATAGTGACAGACGCTTGCACTTCCTTTGACTTCTCGCGGTTGCTGTGTGTAGTCGTTTCTTTATTCTCTTTTCCCTGAAGGTTAGGGTTTTATTTCAGAAAAGCAGGCAACGTTTCAGGTTGACATTGCCCACAAATGCTGGTAAATGTAAAACTCAACAATCTTCTGATGGAAATCAAAAGCAAAATTGTCCATGTAATGAACCTTAATGATGCATGACCACGTGTGTGTTGTGTTCAGATGCATGCACACTTTTGTTTTTTTAAGGGTAAAGGTATGGTGGCAAGTACTGCAGCTTAAAGATACCCATGCATTCTTGTAAAGACACAGAAGCTATGTTTACATTTAGATTATATGATCTTTCCCCATGAAATATTTGAAAAGCCAAATTGTTGGGTAGTTAAAATTGTGCAACAGCCATAAGTAGTTTGCAGTCTTCTCCTTATTTGGTGTTGTTGGTGCATTGCACTACTTTAACGTTGCTGAAATGTGCTATAAAGGTTGGCTTTTCTCTGAGTCTGTATTTGTTTTTATTAAATCTGAACAAACAGTGGGTATTTTTGGCTGCATGTATTGAAGTATGTCAATCACAGCCCATAGCAGACTTGGCAGGACACCTGGTAGACTCATACATCTTTTTCACATGTTTCCGTCGGTGTTCAGCTGAATGTTTTCGTAACCAATCTGTTATTTCCAATCTGTCAGTGGACTTTCTCGTCTTACACCACCTCCTAAGTAGTGCCTTAACTGTTGCTGTGGTGCTTTGAAGCCTGAATCACAAGAAGTCACAGATATCCAGTGCGTGGGCACCGGTTTACAGCTGGATAAGAACCAATGTACCAGAACTCTTTGTTTAAAAAAAAAACATTAACTTCTCTGTTCGCAGTCATCTTACACTTTGTTCATTTTTTTAAACCACCAACAATTAAGTAGTTTTCACTCCCTCGCTCACCCATGTTAACGACCCCGCGGCTGAGGCTGCACAGCTCGGTGGTCATCCTAGCTGTTTCAGTGACAGAAGATTTTTATAGCCCCGCATTTTTCCACCAGCTGTGCAAAATGTATTGCAGTGGTTGCATTTGGGAGTTTGCCACAGAGGCTATTTACACCCTGTATCGCTATGTTGGCCGAATGCTCTCCTGTAATAGGGTACAGTGTGCCTCCGTGAGTATTTAGGGAGTCAGAGAGTTCACCTTCTTATCACGTGTAGGTCAGTAGGCTATCAGGTCAAATTTAATACTGTACTGCATCCTGACATGCACAGGTGGTCGCAGAGAGAGCTGACTAATGATGTTGTCCTGCCAACACGGTGAGGGTATCGCTCACCTCCTAGTCTGCTGTGAAGGCTCGCTGTTCTGTATCTCGTAGCATCAAGACTGCTGTGGAGCAAGATAGTCTGAGTATGAGCTCATGCTCGAAGCTTTCCAATAGCTGACTTTTCTCTATCTGAGCAGCCCATCAGTAAAACAAATGTGAGGCCATTTGGTTTGCGTCTGCGTGTGTCAGTGAGCGTGTTCACATTGGATGCTGCTGCTGATGTTTGTGTGTGTGTGTGTGTGTGTGTGCTCACATATGATAATAAATGCTTTGTGTGAGCCATAGCAGAGCCAAAAAAACATTCTCTCCCTCTGAGAAGCCATTCTGACTGCAACCTCAGATTGGCTGATGTGTCTGTTAACATCTAACGACAGCACACATTTACAGTGTGTTGTTGTTATTGTTTTTTAGGGTAAATGTAAATTTAATGAACCAAGCTTTTATAGAATTAGGAGTCATTTATTATCCTGAAGTCTGTAAAACATCTAGGATGATACTTCATTTGGGATACATGAAGATTTTCTTTGTTTTGTCTTCTCCTCATCGTTCTATTACTTTTGATTGTATTTTCTAATAAACCTCTCTTGTTTTCTCTTTTTCCTTTATTCCTCTTTAGACCAACGAATGGAACAAAAACGACGAACGCCTGCTCGCGGCGGTCGAGCATGGCGAGGCGGAGAAGGTGGCGTCGCTTCTTGCCAAGAAAGGTGCCAACGCTGTGAAGCTGGACAGCGAGGGCAAATCAGCGTAAGCATGTTTAGTCTTTAGCTACAAAACAATGAATTAATCATGGTTTCGGTACAGATTTAGTACGACGCACGTGTTTGTCCTGTTTGGTAATTTATGCCTCTGCATGAATCCAATGAGAACAGCAGACTCTGTTTAAACGTGGAGACAAAATAGTAAAGCTGCAACCTAAATCCTGCAAAAATAATGACAGATAGAGTCAGTAGTTTCAGTGGGATGAAAACGTGGTAAACATGCAAACCAGAAGAGCCAGAGCAGGATAAAATGTGAAGGCCACACATACAAAACCTTCAGTCTTGGTCATTTTTCTGTTTTCCTTTCAATTCAGATGCACATACCTCTACAGTATATGCTCAAATCCTCAAGTCTTAGGCTTATGAAACTACTTACGCGCTCCGCTGCACAATGTTAAAAATGAATGGCCAATCTAAAAATATATCTGTTTTCGTTGGTTCTAAAAAGGTTGACACTTTGCAACCATTCAGTCGTCAGCTTCCATGACTTCAGTGTTTTGAAAACAGGTTCATTTCTGCAGAAGCGGTGGAGCTGGTTGCCTCACCGGTTGAGATTGTTGATAACACAGAGGCTCAGTGTTAATATTTGACCTCTTTCTTGTTCTGAAACACAACACCGGCTGACCTCAATGTGTTCAGCCGCTCGCACAGAGCCAGGAACATCAAAACGCAGGACTAAGCGCAGCGAGGAACAATTATGCAGATTCTCACATGCTGAAACAAACACGTAGGCTTTTCAATTCCACCAGTCGTTGACATCCTTGACCTTTTCTCTGTGTGCGACTAGAACACAGAAACACACGTACAGATGCATACTCGCAGCCTTTGTAAATCATGATGAATGTGGTGGTTTGGAATCGCAATGCTCCAATCTTTTCAGGACGCACAAAGGAGGAGTCTACAGTATCTCTATGGTGATAAAACCTGATTGAAAGGCATGTGGGCATAGTGTTTGTGTGAGTGTGTGAATGTGTGTATCCGACACACACACACACACATTCTAAGAGGGGTGTGGGTGTGTGTTGTGGGTTTTTTTTTTTCTCCCCCACTCTGCTCGATGAGGTGGAAAGGGGTTGTATTGATCGCCTGCTGCATACATATGCACAAACAGGCACGCACAATTCAGACAAAGAGCGTTTTTTTTTGCACATGGGGTGATATCAGCTTAGGACATTCCTGCACACACAGTAGCACTTTACCAGCTTTACTTAAAATAACAATGTTCAGTGGACACATTTTAATTCTAAAAACAGTAGGTACACTATAAAATCGTCACTATATTGTTGCTTTGTGTTGACTCACTACCTGCTTCTTTGTTAGAACCTTTAAAGTCCCATAAAATGTTATAATTACTGCCTTAAAAGAATAGTTGTAGTACCAGTAGACATTATGATATTCTCACGTCTTCATGCTCGACATTAAGCTGCAGCTAGCAGCTCATTAGCTTAGCATTACTGTTGTCGTCCAGACCACCTAAACCGAGACACGAGCAAACCAGTGTATCGAGACAAGACCTAGACTTTGAGGGGCTCAGAGCAAGCTAAGAACAGGACCAGACCAGTGACACACTTCGGATTAAATCTGGAACATGTAAATCATTACTTTGCGCCACTACAACTAGTGCCTTGAAACATACAGCTTATATGGTAGCTAATATCCATCCATTATCTATACATCGCTTAATCCTCACGAGGGTCATGGGGGGCTGGAGTCTATCCCAGCTGACTTAGGCAGGGGGACACCTGGACAGGTAACCAGTCTATCACAGGGCTCCACTTAGAGACAGACAACCAAGCACACTCACATTCACACCTACGGACAATTTAGAATCACCAATTAACCTCAACATGTTTTTGGACTGTGGGAGGAAGCCAGAGAACCCGGAGAGAACCTACGCTGCACGGGGAGAACATGGAGACTCCACACACAAAGATCCCGGGTGTCCTCACCGGAACCAGCGACCTCCTTGCTGCGAGGTGACGGTGCTAACCACTGAGCCACCTTGCAGCACCTTGGAGCTAATATGCAAAGCTAAAATTTACTAAATCTCTTTAAGTGGGAGGTGAGGAGATTTCTCAAGAGTGTTGGTGCACAGAATTACTTTACATTTCTAAGTGCAGATAAAAGCCTGACGTGGTCTCAGCCTTTCCAGAATCTACATACTGCTGTGTGTTGTCTTCTGGACACTGTTTTGCAGATGAGCTGATTGTGGTCTAGATTGCACCATTTTATTAAAGGAGGCTTGGCTGACTCCTCTTCCCAGACAGCAGCCTCTTCTCTTCCTGCCTCCCACATTTACTCATAGTATGTGTGAAGGAGGGCAAGGAGGGGTGATAGCCATTATCAGTAACTAACATCTACATTTAGAAATGAGCCAAGCTTTTGAATGTGGAAGCGCCACATCCAATCACAATAACGTGCTAAATAAACCAGACAGTTTATCATCCCCGCTGCTGTAATCTTGACTGCTCTTGATATAAAATCCCAAGTTGTCTGAGACTGAGACAAGACGAAGTGAAAGATCATCAAACAGTGGATTTAGAACCAAGCTCTTCCTACTAAGCCTCCAATTAACACCAAAAACAAACTTTAAAAAACAAGAGACTCTGGGAAGCTGCTGCGCCAGCCAACAAGTAATCCCTTGCAAAACCACAGAGAGTTGTTTTCTTGCGCTTGGGTTTTTGTAAGGATTAAAGAAATACGAGTATTACATTAGTAGACTGGAGCTTCACATTGTCAGACAGATAGGAGTGTGGTTCAATCTAATCTTTGACAAAAAAGCAAGCACCTATACTACCCACAATGTAGAACGGTGAGGGCTTAATGGAGAAGGTTGTCACTAAAGATGCACCATTATTAGCGTAACTACTAACAGAACTGTGTTTCTAATTTATTCTTTGCTTCTGGTTCTTGTGCAGCCTCCATGTAGCAGCTGCTCGAGGTCAGACAGACTGCCTATCTGCGATCTTGTCTCATGGAGCTGATGTGTCGACCACCGATGCTGCTGGTACGTACTGTAGTTACATTCAGAATTCATTTTTAGTCTCTACACAAATGTGAACATTTTACTCGATGCATACCATAAAAGGAAAAGTATAATACTGTGTTGTCTTGTTTTGGACTTAGAAATAAAAAGGTAGCATCTTAGCTCACATGTATACAAAAAGCTAAAAAGATTTTAGCAGAGGATTGACTCCGTCTTCCTCATTTTTTCAAGTTTGTCACTAAAAGCTTTGGTCTGATGTGTTTTTTGATTTACATCCAGGTTTGAGTCCTTTACACCTGGCTGCCAAAAACAATCACGTTGAATGCTGCAGAAAACTCATCCAGGTAAGGTTCTTAAAGTGAAGAAAAAATGATTCATGTCTCTAAAATTCCTTTGTTTTCAAGCACTAGGCCTGCCAGAAGTGTCTTCAGTCTACCGAGCCAGATTTTTAGACCACACTGACAGTAACACAAAATGTAATACAACACTCAGCACTTCCACTAAAGACAAACTATTTTAGGTCTAATGAAATGTTTTCCAGACATGCTATGCAAAAACTTGAAATATGAAGCTAAGAGTGTTTTAATGGCAGCATACATCGGTGTCACCCAGCAGGATTTTTTCTTGGATGCAATATCTAGTGTAGAAAAAGGAATGCGTGAAAGCGCCGCTCGAAATCTACGAATTTCTTGCTGTTCTGTTAAGATAACCGGACAGTTTTCACTGCTTCATTTATTTTGTCTGCTGATTGTGTGTTTGTGGGCAAATCAGCAGACACACACACTGCTGACCTAACTTTCTCCTGACAGTCTGCAGCATCTCAGCAACACACACCTGCCTGGTCCAAGCCTCCTTGCAGCTCTGCTTGCTCTCAGCAAATCCCAAATGAGTTTTTTTTTTTTGGCCAGAATTCTGTTAACCGTTATCTGATCTTCCCCTCTCTACTATCAGGAAGCAATACTAATATTCACCACATTTCTAGCAGGTCGTCACTTTTGCTGAACTATTTGGAGAAAAAAACAAACTGATATTCTGTTTGTTGCACATGTGTGTATTTCTAGTGAGTTTACAGTGTAGTTATATTCCATAAAATATCTACATACAGCACCTGTGGTAAACAGGTCTTGGCATCAGTTCCGTGGGAAAAAAAAGCCTACTTTGTGTACATTCCTTTTTCTGAAGATATCAAAAACAGGACAGGCAGCAGACAAACCAGTTTTTCTACTTCAAATAAGAATTAAATGCAGGCACAAGATATCTGGAGTTATTTGGATGTATTTAGGATCTTTGTGGTGAATGTAGAAATTTGCAAAAACATATGATATGTCAAAGACCTACTGATCCAATTGTTTTGTTTTATAAAAGCATTTTCCTCTCACATCCTCCAGAGTAAATGCCCCGTCGATGTTGTAGACGGCTCAGGAAAGACGGCTCTGCATCACGCTGGTAAGTGTCTCAGTGTCCTCGTAGTTAACTTCAAAATACAAAAGTATTGAAAGTCAGTCTGCTTTCACAAGGACGTGGGGAAACATCTAGTGAGGTTGAGTTTAAGCTCTAATTTGGATAAAATCATCGATCATATTTGATTAAGTAATTTTAGCCCCGTTAGCTTCAATCACTGTAAATGCTTTCTTTCATCGTCTGACTCTTGTTTTGTTTTATCTGCAGCTGCCAGTGGGAACATCCAGATTGTCCAACTGCTGTGTGAACTCAAAAGTCCCATCAACCTGAAGGATGCAGTATGTACTTTCAGTCTTCACTTCTATCCTTCACCGCCTTATTTTTCCTGGCATGATCGAGGGGGCCTGTGAATATAGAGTAAAGACCACAAAAACCCTCCACTGAGGCTCACACATATCGCTTTCTGCTGTGATGTTTCCACAGAAGAATTGCTTCAATTAGTTTGAGGAATCGGCATACACACGGGGTTTTCTTTAACATTTACACGTCTGTTTTTCGGCTTTCACGTATCTTCTTTCCCTGATTTTAGTTTGGTCTGCATCCCTGCATGTGCTCAAGTTTGGGCGATAAAAACCTTGTTTGTTTTACTTTAAAATCTAAATTAACTGCAGTTGTTTTGTACAGCTGTTGGCTTACGGTATGAAGGACCCTCATTAACAGGCATTTCCACTTGTTTGTCCTCCATTTCAAGATTGATTAAGGTTGTACGCGGTGTGTGTGTGTGTGTGCGTGAGGTAGAAGGTCAGCGTACTGTGGGAACTCTGTTCTCAAGCCGCAGACATGTGGTCTCCATTGCAGTGACGCACCATGCCTGTGGTTTTTACCCAGCTGGGGTGTGTGAGCATGACATTTTGTGCGTGTCTCTGTCTGTTTGTGTAAAAAGGGGAAAAAAAAGAGAGAAAAGAAGTCGAGATGTTGCCCCTTATTTACATTTTTATTATCACACCACAGCTGGCCTGGTGGAATTAAACCCACACAGCCGCTCACAATGATCTCTCAGCTTACATGTAAAGATGTCTTTCCAACTTAAACTTCTGTAAGCCTCAAGTGTAAGCCTGTGTAAGTTGTATGTTCTGGCTTTTGAAATCGGTTCATGGTACCACTTTGTACCTCTGGCTGTCAGGACTTAACGTTTGAAGTCCGTGTGCAGTCACAGCGGGCCCCTCCAGACATGATCGTTTTTGTCTGTTTTGTGACAAAAAAATTCTGTCATCACTACAAGAACTGTGAGCTAATGAAGCACTTCACTTCAAATGTACGAGCATTTTAAATTCTGCATGTGACTGGACAGAGCCGCTTTTGCATCGTTTCCTTGTTGAAAGCACGACAAAGTCTGATATTTCACCAAAGGGCAGTTTCCTTTTTTAGCTGTAATCATCTGCAAATGTTTTATGTGCGATTTGAGCAGCTCTGTCTCCTGTTAGTGGACATATAGGCTGCGAACCTCCAAGTTGTCTGGAACATATTGCTGTTTCTGCTAAGCAGAACATGCCAGCTTGTTAGCCTCAAGCATCTGTACCTGATCTATATTTGACTTGAATAAACACAAAGCAAGATGTAGAAAGAAAGAGAGGAAGATCTGCCACATCTAATATATGTCAGAGGAAGAATTTTTACAGAGAATCAAGCACAGGTAAACGTTGATTCTGCTCAGAGACAGTGGGTGATATGAACTATAAAAGCTCACATTTGCTGTTGGACAGAAGTGCTGCACATTTCTCAGCAACTTGGAGAAGCTCAGCCTTGACACAATTCACAGACATATCCAAGTAATTCTTTTGCATTGATGCATGAATGGTTCAAAAACTTTTGGAAGAACTACAAGAAAATACTGTATTTAACTTTTTTTCCCACTGCATTTATATAACATCTCCAGGTTTTGTTTTGTTTTACTAATTTTACACATTAAGTTTTTCATACAAATGATGAGCTGCTTACATAATATGATGTAATTTCATACATTAAACTACCCAAAAGTATGACTTAACTTCCCAGTAGTACAGTCGTGACTCGATAATCCGACACTAAATGTAAAACCTTCTTTTATGTCGGATAGCAAGGCTGTCGGATTGTCAAGACGGAGGTCGAGATACAAGGAGGGCTTGATGCTGGAAGGCTCATTAGTTGTTAATATTTATTGTTATAGTTGTTATAATAACTAGTGTATTGTTAGACACTACGCATTGCTGGATTTGTCGCCTAACTGACCGGTGCGCTTTGTGCACGTTGCGGCCACGTCCACCCCGGGGGAGCACTCCGACGGGGTGGAAGTGGCCAGAACACACAGGCAGTACTTGGCTGCTGATGCCGGTTTAGTTAGCGGTCACAGTTCTGTTTCCACCATTGATGGCGGCAGCGGCGGCGGGCAAGATACGCTCCATCGTTACCATCCATGTTTACTTCAGCAAACACTGAGCTGTGTGTGATGTTGTCGTGTCCTCTTCTGCGCATGCGGGACACTTTTGGGTCATATGAAGTTCACACAGCAGATCACATACAAGTCGCATTTAATTGGAAATGTGAGCAAGCTCACAAACAAATCGGATTTCACAAAAAAAATCCGAATTGAGCATTAAGTCCTGCAGTGTGAACGTAGCCAATATGTGAGATTGTTCAGTCAGATAATATGCCGTTATCCTGATTGGTGACATAAAATGTCATGTTGGAGTCAGAATCCAAGGCTGTCGGTACGTTAAGGCTGTTTTTCATGGGTTCCATTTGTTTTTCCTAAGAACCTGTCGGATAGGAAGATTTTGGGATTGTTAAGGGTCGGATTGTCGAGTCACAACTGTATATAAAATATTTGTTCCACCTCGAACAGCAGTGATATTTGTACTTGCCAAGAAATATTCTTACGTTGTACTATTGGTACTTTTACCTAATTGACCTAAATACTCCGTCCAAAAGGGGTAATTGGGAATTAACATGATCCTCCATTCTGTACAGGCGACCACTGCAGAGTGTTAAATACAGCGCTGCCATAAAACAAGGTTGAAAAAGTCTGAAAATACAAACATTTAATCTGCTGAAAAAAAGACTTCATTACATGAGCGTGTTACAAGCCAGCGCACAGCTTAAAAGCTTAATTTATTAGGTGCTCTGTAATTATGTCTTTATAAAGTGCGGCTCTGTGTGTTTGTTGGCTTCAGCGGTTTATTTATGTTAAACACAGTTGGCGATGTGTTCTGCTTTGGAGAATAGATGTACTTTGATTGTGAGTCATAGGTCCAATATTTCGGCTCGTATGGTAGAAATTAAAGCGCGAGTCAGTTCAAGGCTGGTACAGTATAAAAGGAAGTAGGTGTGTGAGTGAGTTGATTAGTTTCACCACTGCTGTAATGTTAAGTGGTGCTGGAATAGGGTTTTTAGTCCCAGTGTAGGAGTGAGGACCTTGTAAAGAGTTAAGAGTTATCATTCCTGCTCCACAAAAGAACTGCATCCCTCTCCTACCTCCAAAGTGATAAAGAGTGAACACACTCGTTTGGGTTCTTCAGTCAGTTCTCCTCTCATTTGTAAGAAGTGGTAATGAAAACATCTAAAGTCACCTGTCATGTGCTGCACTTGTTAAATATTCACACACATGCACAGACCTGCATGTATGCAAATGATCTGTGCTACCACCAAGCCAGTTTAAACTTGGCAAACGCGTGTCTAGGTGCAACACAGACAATATTATTCCATGCAGAGTGTATTCAGCTTTAAAAAGGGGTTGTTTGTTAGCATTTGCCCTAATCCACACGATCCTCAGACTGCAACATGTAGCTGTGATGCTCGCTGCCCCACTTCGGCTCTGCCAAGGCGTCTGAGTGTTGCCCAAATTTGGCTAGTCTGGCTTTAAACAACTGACAGATTGACAGCGAGCTATAAACAAGCCTGGTAACACATGGCAGCAAACACGTCGTAATACACCTATACATCCACACACACAGACAGACACACTCTGAATCCATTACCCAGAGGAGGACAACATTACTTTTGCCTTTCAGATTCCAGAGAAAGAGAAACACAGTCTGAGCCGAGCAGACACGGGGCTGTTAAAGTCTTTAGCGGAGTTCAGAGGAAGCCAGAACATAGTTTTGTTCTCTGTGGTGTGTGGAAGCAGCAGCCTTGTAATATAAAACACACAACTATGCTGACATACTTTACTGTTTCTTGATGTTCTTTTACTTTTTCCAGCAGTTGGGCTTTTTTTTTTTTTTAGCTTCTTGTTTCACTGTTAACAATAGAAATGTTCTGTGGAAATGTCTGTTAATGCTGCGTTCCTTGAAATCTATTGTTTGGCATGGTGCTGATTTGTTTAGAAACAGTGATCTCATAGCTCACTTGTAAGTCACAGTTGTTATATTTCCTAAATTAATCTTGGCTCAGTCAACACCGGGAGCCTTCTAGGCAGCATCTCCTTCTAGACTGAACAAAGAGCTCAAAAATCCCACGCAAGCAGCTATTCAGTTTGGGTTCTGGAAGGCTTCGGTTAGGTTAAGGGCCATACTTGGGGTTAGGAGCTCTCAGTGTTGTTGAAAAATGTTGCTGCAGTTGGTCAGCTCTGTGCCAAACCCTCTGCTGAGCCCATTCATTCAGCATAGCACTATATATATATATATATCATTTTTTTGGGATTTTCCCTCGGTCATATGTCTTTCATCTTTAAACAGACTGCACTCTAGCAAGCGGACCAGCGTTGCCCTTTTCTGTTTATCTGTTAGGAAATTCATTCACAGTAGGAGACATTCAGTCTTTTTTCACATGAATCTGAGACTTTTCTCACCACACAGATAGTCGCCAAAGTCTATGTCAAGGCCCACATCCCAGTGTCACACGGGATGAGTTATACAGATGTGTCTGTGTCCTCATAAACGTGTGTGATGTCCGTTTGTTGACCCTCCGTGGAATAAGTCCAGTCATGTTTTTATAATGTCCGTCTGTCCCACAGGACGGTCTCACTTCTCTGCTGCTGTCAGCCAAACACGGTCATGCTGAGGTCTGCAGCGCTTTGCTGGACTGTGGTGCTGAAATCAACACCTCCGACAACAGTGGCAGGTAAAAGCACCGCTACCAAAGTCACGTCAACAAACTGACACATTCTTGGACTCTCAGATAAATGTATGTGCTTTGGTGCTCATATACGGCGTTTTCCTATTTCGTAGGACGGCCTTGATGCTTGCGTCTGAGTCCAACGCGGTGCCTGTTGTAGAAGTGTTGGTTCAGCGAGGAGCAGACCTGTCAGCTGTAGATTCAGAAGGCCACGATGTTGTGCATTACGCCAAGCTGTCAGGCAACTCTGAAGCCAAAGTGGCCCTCATGGCTGCTCTGAACAGACACCCTGTGTTAGGTAAGAATTATGCAAAAACAAAACCTGAAAAGTGACACAGTTCTCTTTAAATGTCACTCTGCCTTCTTTAGAAATGTGTACTTGTATTGTCTCTTCAGGTGACTGCACTGACAGATTATTTCTCTGAAGACTTACTCTGACCACTGTGTCCTACTGATAATCTTAATCAAAAAAGATGTAATGTGAAATCTGGTTTGACCACTAAAACTGTTTTTTTTTTATTGCTCATTGATTACAAACAGATCATTCATTGTTCTTTCCTGTGACACATTCAGCAACTCAATCAGTGTATTGTGTTGATGACACTCAAACATCATCCTCTTGAGCTCTCACTTAACCAAACACGAAATGTTCACACCCCATTCTTTATCCTACTTCTGCTTTATGGACAATGCCGTTTCCTCATCTCTCCCATTAGGTGAAGTTGTAAACTTCCATTATGGTTCTAACTATCCCATTTGATCTAAATTTGCATTATGCTCTCTATCTTAACAGTCAATTACATGTAAATATGTGAAATAGTGGCAGTTATTTAGTTATTAGGCTTCTGGAAACTAATGACATTTCCATCTTTTATGACTGCACATAACCCTGGTTGTATTCCTTTGTTTACACATTGTAGTGGACGTGTGAACGAGAGCGTTTTCAGGTCTTTTCCCCACAAACTGATCAATAACAACACAACTACACACATGAACCTACTACCTCTGTGGGACAGAGAGTTGTGCTGCTCTGGTTTGAACACATAGTCAACACTGCCACCTGCTGTATCGCTCCTGTTACTGCAGCGATGTTTGCTGTGCGCTCTACTCCGTGAACCTGCATTAGAAATAATACAAAAAAGGAAAATAAGGCTAAAATGATTTTCTAATCTCCTGCTCATTCTTGGTGTCATTCTTGTCTCCTCTGATAGATGTCAAGTCTCCTAAAAGTCCTCAGGTAAGACATTAGTCTCTTTTTTTAACAATACTTTCTTGCAACAAGCATCAGAGTTACTAAAGAAGATAAACTACACAGCCAGTCAATCAGGAATGACTGTATGAAAGCGTAAATCTCCTAATATTACAGTAATATAAGGTGATTGATTATGAAAGGAGCAAAGATGATGAATAAAAGCTAAACTGAGACTAAGCCACATATGATGTAGTTCAACATCCGCTTCTCTCATGTGTTCGTATCTAATTTCTTAGCTTTGGAAAAACACAAACAGAAAAATTTTAGTTTCTGTTTTTGAAAAGCAAAAACTTGATTCTTACTGTAGCACTCGTTGATCGACTCTCCTTTTACTAACCAGCACTGAATCCCACCTTTCTTTTTGTCGCCTTCCCTCTCTGCCTCTGTTGCTGGCTCCTCAGCATGATCAAGTAGCTAAGCTAAGTGATGAGCGGATCACAACTCCCAAAAAACGAAAAGCACCTCCACCTCCTATTAGCCCACTGCAGGTAAATGCATGTTTCTCTGTGTATCTGCCGGCTTGTATCAGTGTGCCACTCTTTAAATTAATATGAATGCATGTCTGCAGAATATTTATATAATGAGTACAGTCTGAGAGTGTTTGTGTGTTTACATATGACCCGTTAAGTTTCTAATCACAAATCAGTTTATAGATTGTCAAAGTAATTAATTCATCTACTAAGTTAATTTAATGTATGTACTAATCTGCCTTTTGTTTTTCAAAGTTTAGATGATAAAAATGTTCTGTTTGCAAACACCCAGTGCAGCAATAACTTATTAAGGCCTTGTGTGAGTTTGTTTTTGTCATAAAACACTAACTTTTAAATTCTTGTCAGACTGGGTTCTGTACCAACAGATCATAAACATGTGACTGGTACACTCTGGTTTTTAACACTTCTAATAAAAAACATTTTTAAAGCTCAAAAAACAGACAAGTTTTTTTTATGTTCAACATGAGCATGTGGGCAAATTAATCCAAAAACTATCAACTTCATCTTTCTTCAGAGCTCTGGACCCTCCTCTCCTTCAGTCATTACATCAGCTGGCACTCCTGCATCCAACAAAAGTGACACTCCCAAGAGATTCAACTACAAGGTAATGCCAACACATCAGACACTAGAACTAATGTAAGAGCTGAAAGCTGCACAAGTCATTACCTCATATTTTCCATGTAGCTCTGCAGCTAAATGCTATGTAGCAGTAGGCTACATTCTTGCCTTAAGCCTTCAGACGTTTTTTTCCCCCCTCTGCTGTATGTTTTTCTTTTTTCCCGCCACCCCTCACTCCTTACTCCTCCCCTTATTCCAAAGGAGGATGAGATTAGAGGAACAGCACTGAGAGAGCAGGTCGAGAAGCTTCATGAGGAGAGAAACATGCTGCTGGAGACAATCGAAGACCTGAAGCAGACGGTGGATACGGTGACTGGGCCTGAGCTGGACACAAAGGTGACTATCGACACTATGGTGACTTGTTTACATGCATATGAGCAGATCTTAAACCAGGTATGTTGACTGAAGCAATAAGCCTGGAAATAGTTAAGGGACGCAGTGTAAAGTACCACACATACATCTGATATATTTATTGTTGTATAAACAAATTCTCAATTGTTTTTTCTTACCTGGATAAAAAAAAAATAATCAGAGAATTTTTAATTAGGTAAACTATATGTGTATTTCAATCCTTTTAATGAATCCTAAAGTTTTTTCTATGCATCATACAGTTTAAAAAAAAGTCAGTCTGTTTATTTTTTTTTAGTTTTATGATTCAAGCTTCATGCTCCAACAACAGACAACCACTGAACTTTTTCACCTTCAGCATTCTTGAAGGAGGTCTAACCTGAGCTTAAGACATGTCACGACTCGTGTTGTTTTTCCGAGGTAGCTAGTGGTCCTTAACGTTGCCTTTATGTGAACGTATGTGTGTTTATGTTTTGGCAGGTCGAGCAAAGTTTTACAGCGTCTGCAGCTCTGGTTTCTGCTCTGCAAGCCAAGATTGCTGCTCTTACTTCAGAGAACCAGCAACTTGCAAGCAAACTAAAGGTATGCAACCCTTCATTCATGCTCAGAAGTTCGACCATAAACAAATGAATGAACACGCTCGACGTGAGGGCAGCACACTGTATATTTAAGCTTTTCCACTGAACTCTGCTAAATTGCTGGCTGTGCTTCCACAGAGCAGCGAGGAGACAAATATGGAAACTAATTTAGAATACAAGTAATAAAATATCTAGAGTATAATTATTTTTCAAGTACTGGTATCACCTGGGGAAGGATGGAAAAAAGCTGTAATGTGGTTTATTCTTTTAAAAAATATTTTATAGCATTCTGACTACGTCATTTTGCACGAGACATTTTTTCTTGCCCCGGTTTGCTGTTTCCATTGCGCTGCATGACTTTATATTGCAGTAAAAAATTAGCCCACAGTGACTGAAAATGTTCCAGAAGCAGTGAATATCCAGAAACCGCTTCACATCCAGAGGACTTATTTACTAAAAAATAAAATGTATGTATGTAGGTCTAAGATAAAACGTTTCCATATTTCCCGTCTTAACCTTTGTAACTCTGGAAATCAAATCATGAACTGCAGGATTATTCCCTTTTATAAGATGCAGTCATTTTTTATTTTTAGAAAACATGTTTTTGAAATGATCTTTGAATCATAAACCTCTTTAAAAAACACTTGGCAATATCCAAATTCTTCAGTTTATTGCTTTGTAATTAACCCTTTCATGTAAAGCCAGACACTGGCCACAATAATTTCCCTCATTCAAGTGGTCGGTGGTTTGCTAATAAGATTTCTATTTTTCCATCCTCACTCTCCTCCTCTCCCCACGCTTCACCCTGCACCCTCAACTCACAGAAACATCCGTCCCTCCAAGGAAATGAGGACCTGAAGGAGACCAGTCGTCCCAACAGCATGGCCTCCAACTCCTCCTTCCACTCCACCCAGGATGAGTTTGACTCAGCGCCACATGTCCCCTCCACCGCAACTGTGGACGGGGAAGGAGTTGCTTCTGTCAGGCTGGAGGAAGAAGAGAATGAGGGAGGCAGAGGAGGAGGCAAAGAGGAGATCAGACTGTTGAGACAAGCGCTAGAGAGTGTTCAAATAAAACTTCTAGAAACCAGGAAGGAGAACCGCTCGCTTCAGGCTCAGCTGAAACCTGAAAGAGGCCAAGAAGGAGAGGAGGAAGACACCGTCAGAGAGAAAGGACGAGAGGAAGAGCTAATGGAGAGTCTAGCAGAGCTGCAGGCGAAGCTGACGGACACTCAGGAGAGATACCACCAAGCTATGGAGGAAGTGGAGGATCTGAGAGGGCAGACGGGAAGGGGAGAAGGCGAGCTGACGGAGAAACAGGAGGCCCACGGACGTAGCTCATCTACACTCGAACATGAAGTAAAACAGCTGAAAGCTCAGCTCGTCCAGTCGGGGTCCGAGCAAGACAGAGCAGCTCAACGAATCCGACAGCTGGAAGAAGTGCTGAGGAAGATGGAGGAGGACAGACGGACCACCAAGGGGACAGAACAGAGGACGGCACAGATGGAGGAGCTGTACAAGGAGGCGCAAGAGGAAGTCAGGATGCTCCAGGTAAATATGACATCCTTCTCTTCTGTGAATGCTTGTGTGACTAGAAAGGTAACTCCACCGATTTTTACAAATTCAGGTCTAAGATTTGTGGAATACCAATGTTTTTCCTGAATCCAGAATCACTATCTGTTACCATATTTTAAAAAAATCTGTACATTTTCCTGTTATTTTAAAATAACACTATACTTAACTAAACTGGGTCACTTTTTAAAATTCTTATTATTTGGCACCGGCTACCAAAAATTCCTTTATGCTAGACAAACACAGATTCCCATCTCATATAGAGAACAAGGAGGTGTAAAGATCGGCCTGACTCTGTAGATTCTTGCCACTGGCCGTGAAGTTGACGCCATACTCTCTTCCTCTGAACACTATCTTCATACTGCAGAAAACAATAACAACTATCTTAGTCACACTGCAGTCATGTCACACAGTCAACATATGTTTTACTGTATTTTCTGGCATTTTTTTATTGCATGAAATTTGTTATTTTAATCACCACATGCAAATGTTCCACCACAACAAGTGCCTCCCGACACTGTTTGACATCAACGTAGCGTCCTGAACTCACTGCTGCTCAAAGACAATTAGAATTTATTTTAAAAATTCAGTCAAGCCAGAGCTTATTTTCCTCTGTGGCATGATGATAAAGGAGTAGCCAGACCATTCTCTAGCGCTCACACAATGCTGTGAGGATAGGTCTGGCTATGTGAGACAATGCAAAGAGTGTTCTTCAATCACCTGAAGTGATGTCACATGAATCAGTGTCGGATCAAGTTGGAAAAGTAAACACATATTAAATGTATAGGACCTAATCTCTGCTTGAAGCTAGCAGCTCATGATAGCATGAGCCAAAACTAGCATGACACACCTGCACTATCAGCTGAACTATAAGTTAGAATCAGTATAAAAAGGAAAATAAATGAAACTGTTCTGTTAGTTACCTCTAGTTACCTTTTTATTTTCTACATCAGTCATTTCCTGTAACTGGTTCCTTCCTGTTGTTTAGGAGGCTCTGAGGGGAACAGTGCCTGTTGAAGCAGCAGCCAAAGACTTTGAGGAGATGAAGGCTGAGCTCAATGAGGTAATTGCTGGGCTGCAGCGTCGCTTGCTGGAACTCTCGCACTCCTACAGTGAAACCAAGAGTCAGCTGAGTGCCGCTCAGAAACAGCTGGTTGAGAGCCAAGCCGAGAGCAGCGCGGCCTCATCTCCCTCCACAGAACAACAGGTCCAGGTGCTGAACAGTAAGGTGGAGGAGCTGCAGGCGCTGCTGGCTGAGACTGAGAAGAAGTATTCAGCCACTCAAGAGGAGATTTCACTACTGAGGCAGGAGGCAGAAGCTCAGGCACAGAGCTCCGTGGCCCTCGCCGACCACACGCAGGTTATGTCGTCTCTGGGAAATGCCATCAAGGAGCTGGAGAGTGAAGCGGAAGCACTGAGAGCGGAGCTGCATCAAAAGACGGTGCAGCTGGAGGCTGTTCAGAATAGGTGAGAGAAACGGTGACAAGAAGAAAATAAAGGAAGATTTCCCACGTAGGTGATTGAGGCCCGGGCCATAAAATGATAGCAATGTGCACTGGCAATAGAAATTTCATCAATAATAATAAGAAAACTGTTCAGTAGCTTCACTTAAATACATTAGATTCACTGCATAAAGAAAACACAGTCTGGTTGCGTGAACAAATCCCAGAGGTGTCCCTTCTCTGGCTCAGAACAAACTATTATCACTTGAAAATCAGGTTAGCTGCATTCATGGTACCAAAAAGTAATACAAGCAGATACACAAGTTGACCTGTTTCAGAATATTTTGAGCTAAATACAAAGAATGAGGGGAAAATATGAATATCAGTTTTTTCCCTTATTATTGAAATCAGAATTAGTTCGTATCCTGTCTTTTGAAAAACGTGATTTAACCTTTAAACTACAGTCAAGTGTGTTATAGAGTCTGAAAAATTAAGATTCTTTATCCAAAAAAAACCAAACAAAAACAACACATGTAAATAAGTTTAAATTAGGAGCCATGCAGTGAAAACACAATCATTTGTTTGCAGTCCAGGGGGTGGAGACTAACAGGCATTCATGTCAGGATTTTTCCGCCTGCTTTAGCGACACTGAGTTCAGCCCGGCTGTTGAATCTGCGGTCAACAGTCAAAACTATTTTGCCAGCTTTAATAAAAAATGTCTTGCCTGCTAGAATGAAATGTACTTGAGCTGTAGTTGTTACCATGTGGCTCTTGTGTCTCTTTTCTTCGCAAACAGGCTGACGGCCGAGAAAGACGTCAGCCCGGATGACTCAGTCTCCCGTCTGGAGCATGAGACGTTGCGGGAGCAGCTGGAGGGCGAAGTGAACCATCTGACGCAGCTCCTCCAGGAGGCCCTCAGGAAGCAGGACGAGATGGCTCTGGAGGCTGCTGATGCGTGGCAGAAGGTGGGAGAAAACAACAACGAAATAAACGTATCAAATGCTTTTCCTTCATATGATCTATTTTTGTTCCTTAGCACTAACTTAATTACCCTCTTGTCCACCAATCAGGCGCGGGATAATCGAGCCGAGCGGGACGCCCTGCAGGAGCTGGTGATGTCGAGGGAGAAGGAGAACCAGACGCTGACCTCCAAACTCGCAGAGTCCCAGGATGGCGTGTCTCAGCTCAAACAGCTGGTGGAGAATCACGTTGCCTCTGAGAGAGAAAAGAACAAGAGGGTCAGTAATAATAAGTACCGACGCTAACATAGTAAACATTTGACACCTCGGTAGTGTCTGTCTGGCGGTGAGCTTGCTTTACGAGGTGCCATCGAAAAGTTCTGCCCCTGTGAAAAGTTAAAACCATTCCTGATTTTAATTAGGTCCCTTTAGTTAGCTTGTGTAGCGATACACAGCTCCCAGTGCTGTCGTCTCAATCCTCATTAATCACACCTCGTCTGTAGTTGTTTTTAAGACATTTTTCAGCATGTTTACCTCAACTTAAGGTCCATTTAATCTAACCAGAGCGTTTTCCTTCCATCATCAAATCAAACTTTTTCATGCTTATTGTTACATTAACCATTTTTTTTGTGGTTTGTTTTCCCTTGCAGATAGATGACCTGTCTCGGGAGGTAGGGAAGCTAAAGGACGCCTTGAACAGCCTATCACAGCTCTCCTACAGCTCCTGCTCCCCCTCCAAGAGGCAGCAGCAAACCCAGCAGCTGGACACCATGCAGCAACAGATCAAACAGCTGCAGTACCAGCTCGCTGTAAGATTCGTTCAATCTATTTTTACACTTCTTCTTACAACAATGCTCATTTTGAGTGCAATTTATGAAGCCCCTGGAAGGTCACAGTGGGCAGTTTTCTCTTGATTAGTTTTACGTTACTTGTTTTGATCCATAGAAACAGTTGTTGTGTTCACTGCTAGTTATGGGAAACACTCTGCAGGTATGGAGAGATGATGTGATGTTTTACTTGAAGTATGTGGTGCTCATCACTCATTTTAAGGCCAGTCTCCAGCTGCTGGTTGTGAGCACAGCTGCTCTGCCTGGCCGTGACGGGTGAAGCAGTGGCTGGAGATGATTATTGTCTGGACTTTGGCTGCTGCTGCTGCTGCTGTTGTCTATGCTGCTATAGATAGATGTCCAGCTGTTACTATTCGAACCCACGATGTTTCTACGACAGATATATTACCAGCACACCGCAGGAGCTCAGGGATACAGTAGCTGCAATACAACGCTCAGCCAGCAGTACCATCCCTGCACACGCCACTGCTGCATGCAGTCAGTGTTGGAACCATTAAAAACAAATGTGTCGCGGCTATAATTTTAACAACCGCAGCACAGCCACGACTGCAGCCACAGTCACAGTGACAGCTGAGTCATTCCAAGACTGCAGTTATAATCAGAGCTAATCCCATCAGGGACACAACTGGTGAACCAGCCTCTCTGGTTTTCGTACTAAATCCAGCGGCGCAGGCTGAGCAGCCACCGCTGAGGCTGCACTGACTCTCCCTGCAGTCTAGCACGCTTTCTCTAGGGAGCAGAGGAAATGCACAACGTAGTCGCAGAAAAAAGTTCCACCGTCACCTTTTGGGGCTCTGTACAACAGTCATGTGAACTCTGGTGGTGAAGTAAAGGTGTATTTACCTCCTGTTGTCTTTGTAGGAGTCAAAGAAGCAGCACCATGAAATAGTGTCAGTCTACAGGATGCACCTCCTCTACGCTGTTCAGGTAAACATGCATTTGTTTTCATTCGGCTACAGCTCACCAACGTTGAAATGTTAATAAGAGTATTGTCTCTTTGTGTCTTTTCAGTTTTAGAACAATTACTGCTCAACCATCTCTGATTTGCCTGAAGGATTTTTAGCATAAAATATGGATATTTACAAAGATAACAGTGAAATTAAACATATTGAATACTTTCTGAAATAAATACTGAACAAGAATTCAATAAGTGTAATAGATAAGGTTCAGTCTGTTTCTCCGGCCTACAACATGGATCCAAAAAAGAAAAATATGCCTACATACAAAAAACATATATTTTGGGAACCATTTAAAAACTCCAAAACTCTGTTCTACCTGGATGAGGTTATCTAGCAGTTGTTTTGTTGGGTGGTCGAGCAGAAGGCCCCTGATGATTTGAGATGGAATAAACCTTTTACATGAGACATTCAGGAGCTTTTAGTTTTTTTTTAACAGCGGTGGATCAAATTAAAGCTTTATCCAGAATATTAGAGAAATAGTTTCTAGAAATAAAAGCTATTGCTTCATATTCTTAAACATAGAATTTCAGACATGAAAACATAAAACATTTATTTCACCTCAAAATCAGTCAGATCAAAGCTACATGAGTTGTTGGACACCACTAGAGACAAAGGGGGGACGTTTACTTATCGTTGTTGTTGTTGGGGTTTGTTCACTTCAAACTGACACTAGAACTTTCTTTCTTCAGTATCTTAACTTACTGAACCTGTGCTGTTTTGCCTTCAGGGTCAGATGGACGAGGATGTGCAGAAAGCCTTGAAACAGATCCTGATGATGTGCAAGGTGCCAAGTCCAGCCAAGGAGGCCTGCTGAGACGCACAGGGACCGGTTTCCCAAAAGCCCGGTGTCTTTGAAACCGAAGAACACTGAGAACGAGGAAGCCCGACACACGGTGCCTCTGGATGAATCTTGAGTATTTGTTTCTGAGGAATTGGTTTACAATCAGGTGTTCGTTGCCTTTGCTGATGCCATATCAGTGTTTCCCCTAGAACGGTTTTCAGGCCTGATGGTTAAAAAGCGCCTCAACAGACGAGGTGGGATATGGTCAACTTTGTAGATGGGGCAGCGGGCGATCCCCGATTTAGATTCACATTGAAATATTTGTTTACTTGAGCCAACTAACCTCACCGGCCCTCTCTACTGTCCCACCTCCCTCGCTTTCTCTTCTTTCCAACCTTTGGCTTTTGGAGAAAAACATTTATACATCCGTCCCCTACAACACACCTCCTCTCCTTTTAGGCTCAGCTACATCCTATACGATCACGAACACGTCAAGAGTTTCCAAAGCGATGCAGAAGCTGAATCATAGTTTGGAACAGCTGATGCCCGGTGGCCTGCCTGTGCAGTTGTAGGGGAAATACTGCATTTTGAACTCATGTCTAACATCATGGTATAAACATGTGATCTGTACCTGGATAACTTTATCTGAGGCGCAACTACAAAGCAGGGTTTCAGGTCAGTGAGGTGAGTTCAGGGTTACAGCGGTGCAACATTTACGCTGCAGGTTGTGTTCACAGTAACACAGCCTGCTCTCGGTGAACAGATAGTAAGAGGATCTCTCAGAGTTTTTAGAGCTCCAAGCGTTCTCAAAGCTGTTTCATTGTTGTGTTGATCTTTGTATCGTCATTCAATCCTCACACAGACAGACTTAGAGCACTGAAGCCTTGAACTTGTTGACCTTAGAGGATTTGCAGTGAGCTACGTACTGGTTTGAATTATGTTTTTATATTTATTGTTTACTTGATCACAAAACCCCGCCAAGACTACAGCTGAAAGACAAAACTATGTCTCATATGTTATAAGAAAACATCTAAGGGACACATTTGATGGAATACGCTCTTGTTATATTCAGATCTACTTGTGCCATAAGCTTGTAAATGCTCACAAAGTTGGAATTTTTTCACGAGGTTAACCTTCAGCAGGTTTGTTGCCTTTAGTCTGGATCATTTTCTCATATTGTTTGTTAGAAATCTGCAGCTCTAGACCTGTCCATAGATGTCATTAATCATTTAGTGCTCTTTTTTGTTCAAGTGAATGTGCTCATAGCTAGATTCAGAACTGCTGAATTGACTAAACGAGCTGATTCAGATACAGATCACATGTTCATATCAGGTGTAAACGGGGCTTAAAGGTCACGATGGATGATGTTTTAGGGAAACCTCAGCCCAGCATGCAGGTTCTGCACATCAGCCAGCTGACTGGAGGTGGTTATCTGGTGTGTTCTGGCCAAATTTGTAATCTCAGAACTCAAAACGCTACATTAAAAACGTGCAGTAACTTTAAATCACATGCAGTTGCACAAATATAATAAAAACGTGTGTGTACTGTGACTTAAACATACAATCTGTGTGTGTGTGTGTGTGCGCACTATTCAGTCCGATGAAATCAGTGAGTTCTTTCTGTTACCACTCGCGCTTAACAAACCGAACGCGCTGCTGTTAGTAGTATCTGTTTTATGATACAACCGTATTGGTATTATTTAAATTCTTCTCTCAATGTTTCATGGTCGTCCACATTTACCCAATACCATCTAAATTATTTGTGCCCGTTTGAATAATGCATGTAAACGCCCAGAAATCCAACAAATGTTTCTCGGTCGCACTTGTTTGAAGAAAACGCTCTTTCTATTGATATTTTCCTATGAGGCAGAAAAAAAAAAAAAAAAGTGTAAAAATGATATATTTTACTGACTTGTACTACCGTGTCCTGTTTTCTAAGTTACTGTACTTACATGAAGAGGTTTGATAGCTGTGTTCTGGATGGCCTTGTGTGTGTTTCGTGTGAATGAGAAGCTTTTTTTTTCTCCTCGAGTATAACAGCGCACTATTTGTTCTAGCGACACCTGAATTAGTCGGTTCTCCTGTTACTATTCATATTTTACATATAAGGGGTTTACTGTTTACTGTAGTGATAACAAAGGAAAACATTTCAGTTGTAACAAACTCCCAGCAGTATGGGCTCATCATAGTAAGATCTGTAGTTCTTACTTGTCTCCTCTTGATTTCTTTTACTTTTTTATTTTTTTTTATTTTTAACAATTACTTACTTGAAAAGCATGTCAAATGTATTGGCTGAAATCAAATCGTTACATAAAAGAAGAGTCACGTGCCTGTAATCGGACAGTATTTTATCCGGCTTCCTTGTACAATCTTATTAATTTATTTACATTTACCTGGAATGTTTTTCTGTCTCTCTCTTTGTACAACTCCCTCTTTTTCAGCGCTCCTTTGTAGGTACAGAGATACACTGTGCAGTGTTTGTTTCAGATGCATTTCTTTGTACGTGTCTTCTAGAGGCTTCTGAACTGTTTATTTCACACAGCACTCCTTTGCCTTAGCCCTGTACGTAGAGCCATTAGAGATCACCTTCCTACTGAACAGTGTTGTTGGAAATACTGGACTGAAAGAATTTGTATCCGAATGACTGACCGTCAGTTCTCACTCAGCAGCCCTGAGTCGAGCCTCTGCATGTCTGTGTTTTAGGTCGTAGGGGATCGTAATCAGCTCTCTCTCTCTTTCTCTGTAGGCCTTGACTGAAATGTTTTGTACCAAGAAAGGGAAAACAAAGGAACAGCTTTTTCTCTAAGTTGTTTCTTTACTAACAGTTTTGTAGTGACAAGAAAAAGAAATGCTGGTTTGCCAACTGCATTTTGCCCACGTTAATAAATTTTCAAGATACTGTAACATCATCTGTCGTCGTTTTGTGTTTCCCATCTGTTATGATTGAGAAAGTGCAAACATTCATCCATCCATCTATACACTGCTTAGTCCTCACTGGGGGCTGGGGACAGACAACCAAGCACACTCACATTCACACCTATGGACAATTTAGAATCACCATTTAACCTCAACATGTTTTTGGACTGTGGGAGGAAGCTGGAGAACCCGGAGAGAACCCATGCTGCACAGGGAGAACATGGAGACTCCACACAGGAAGATCCCGGGTGTCCTCACCGGCGACCTTCTAACTGCGAGGCAACAGTGCTAACCACAGAGCCACCTTGCTGCCCGAAAGTGCAAACATGAGCTGATTGTAGCTCATTTGACACATGAAGAGTCAAACCTGATTGGTCGGCTGATATTAAGATAAGAAAAGGAAAGTCTTAATTCGTCCCACAGTGAGAACATCTGCAGCGTTACCGCAACAAACAGGATGGTGCAAACATGTAAGGAACATCAGTAGAAAAACAATAAACAAAAGGAATTTAGCAGACAGGGTTAGCACATAGTTTGTCCAACAGAAACCTGCCATTCATGTGGATGCTACTTTGACACATGCCAAGTCAAACCAAGTACATCCCAGTTCATGGCATCAGCAGTCCCAGACACCAGCTACCTCCCCAGTAGGACAATATGTCTGCCGCGCCACATAAACTGAGGAACACAACCAAGAGCTCAAGGCCTGACCACCACACTTTCCTCATGCCAACCAGACTCAGCATGTGTAGCTCCTAGATAAATCTGCTCCAGGTCCTACATTAACAGCTGGCTGTCAGTCAGAAAGTATAAACTACCATTTAAAAATGAGGAAGTCTTCATTGGCTGATTGTGCAGAGAAGAAGATCTACATCCACTAAAACATAACTTCATAACAACATAACTTCCTTCATAACTCTTTGTCCAGAGCACAAGTTCACAAATTATACATAAACATTAATGTAAAAAAAAAAATCTGAATTCCACATGCAGGCTTCAACACTGACGCCTCCTTTTTCTGGGCTTTTTTCCAGCAAAGAGGGCAAACTGAANCGGGTGTCCTCACCGGGACGCGAACCAGCGACCTTCTTGCTGCGAGGCAACAGTGCTGACCACTGATCCACCTTGCAGCCCAAAAGTGCACACATGAGCTGATTGTAGCTCATTTGATGCATGAAGAGTAAAACCTGATCGGTAGGCTGATATTAAGATAAGAAAAGGAAAGTCTTAATTCATCCCACAGTGTTACTGCAACAAACAGGATGGTTCAAACATGTAAGAAACATCAGTAGAAAAACAAAAAATAAACAAAATGAATTCAGCTGACAGGGTTAGCACATAGTTTGTCCAACAGAGAAGCTCTGATTCCAGCCTTAATATTATCTGCAGCACATGTAGCAGAGCACACATCACAGCTGAGCAGAAGGTGCTTGTTTGTGAAACACACTGCCGATAGCTAGCATTTTACACAACATTCAAAGTCATCGAATAAACTGAGGTTTTCTTTCTAAAGCTTAACAAGCCACCACAGATCAGCTACAACATTTAAACTAATGACCGGTAAAGTCAAAGACACTGATGTTGTCATAATGGTTTGCTGGGAAACCTGCCATTCATGTAGATGTTATTTTGATGCATGCCACCAACTATATCAAACAAAGTACACCCCAGTTCATGGCATCGGCAGTTCCAAACACCAGCTACCTCCCCAGCAGGACAATATGTCTGCCGTGCCACATGAACTGCTTGAGGAACACAACCAAGAGCACAAGGTCTGACCACCAAACTTTCCTCATGGCCCTAGATAAACTCTGCTTACCAAATCTGCTCCAGGTCCTGCATTAGCAAATAGCTATTAGTCAGAAAGTGTAAAAACGCTGCATGTTTGTGCCACTGACTACCATTTAAATGAGCAAGTTTTCAAGTCTTCAGATCTACATCTGCTAAACTGTAAGCTGCAAAACTTTGCATTTCATAACTCTTTGTCCAGAGCACAAATTCACAATTTATACATACACATTAATGTAAAAAAAAACTGAATTCCACATGCAGGCTTCAACACTGACGCCTCCTTTTCTGGGCTTTTTTCCAGCAAAGAGGGCAAACTGAAAGAAACTAAGCAACCGCTGCACCTGTACGCCAGAGCATCTCCAGCATTTGACACGTCGGCAGAAAACCTTTTTGTTTCTTCCAAACCACGCTGCGTTGGCAATCTGTTCCCCACCTAAACATTGTCTTAATCTGCCAAATGCAACACTCACAGAGAAAACACGAGTTCTCAACAACTAATCCTGCCGGATAAACGAGACGTATGATTCAGAGCCGTGTGACAGGAGGGTTCTAACTGACGCTTGGTTTCGGTTCAGTGTCAGTTTGCCAGCATTGACAGAATCTGCCACCAGTTTTCTTTGTTCATTCATGAGTCATTAAAACATTTACTTGTCATGCTTGTGATGTGTTTGGCCAAGAGGGGCAACAGAAGTCTGAACTGGCGATAAGTGACCACTAGATGGCAGCATTTGCCAACACTGGATCTCACATGGCTCCAATAAGGTGATCCAGACTCACACGTTATACCGACAAATGACCAAAAAATGATAAATAGATGACTTATGAAGCTGAATGTTTGATCATATTGATAACCAGTGAAACCAAACTGAGCACCTGTGATATATTTCTGATGGATATATCTTTTAGATATCTATGAGAATGGTGGTGTTTTATCACTCCAGTAGCCACAGAGACGAGTTAAATCCATGGCAGTGTGCAGTGAAGCTGTTCTGGCTGCTCCTGGTGCCTCAAATCACTCCGCACATGCATTTTCTTGATCGCCTTCCAACGTCAGTGGAAGAAATATACGCTTCAGACTCCGAAATACTTGGCGAATGAAAAATATCAGAAGCATTGTTTGTTTTCCTGTTGGGTTAGGCACACCATCCTCCATGTCAACACTCTGTCCTCCCTCAACGTCCACTCAGCTCCGGCCCTCAGAAGTCCTGCCAGCCTGACTCGGAGTAATTTATCTGCCGTTCTGTTTCCTCTAACCGGTGGCACAACCACTTCGTTTCCTGCCCTGGCCCTGTGTTCTGCCCGCTGGGCAAACACGCACATATGCACGCAAGAAAACACACACACACCAACGCACACACACACACCTCTGCCTTTACACGACAACTTCCTGTCAATCTTGCTTTCCCACATGTTCTGCCCTCGGGCCTCGGGGGTTAGTGCAGAGAGATCCAGCGCTGTGATCCTAATCCAGTCAAGGTCCATATTTGTCGAGCATCCTGGGCTGCAGTAAAATCTCCAAGTCTGGAGTCTGTGAGTGGCAGGATGAACCCGGCTCGGCCGAACTCAAACGTGCCATGCGACGGTATTTGATGGTCAAACATGGGACTTTCCTGTGTTTGTATTTGGCTGTTTGATGAATATTAAGCAGACGTTTCACTGCTTTCCTTCAGTTTGTGGTTTCTTTAGGAAGCACAAGTGTCACATACATACAGACGGATTACAAATTAAAGGAAAAACTAATGAAGTGTCTCAAAAAGGTGTTGGGTTCCCTCGAGCTGCCAGAACAGCTTGGCATTGATCCTCTTGAACGCCACTGGAGGGACTGAACACCTCATGTGTTGTGTTGCTGATGGTGAAATCTCCTAATGGTGTTTATTAGGTGAAGAACATGTGACTGCAAAGGCTGTAACACATGATTTACATCATTTTCATACTTATTAAACCATTCAGTGACCCCCAGTGCCCTGTGGATGGAGGCTTTTATTCTGGACCCCTCCCAGCAGGATGAAAATGTTCATTAGAGGATAAAAATGATCACTTTGTATTGATTTTCAGTCGAAGTGGGCAAATGGAATCAAACCACGTCAGCCAAATGTCCAACAAAGTACAAAAAAAGCCACCAGATAGCCTCGCTTTAGCTGTCAAGGGTTCATTTTGTCACCCATCTGCTCAAACATGTTGCTCCAGAGACTCTGAAATACAGCCTAAACCCAAAACACTAATTTAATCAAATACTTAAATGACTGCTTAAATGATTTTTCAAACAAAAATACCAAAGATTCCCTGATTGCTTGAACAAAACAGTTAAAATTTCCTGTTTTATTATGTGTCACAAGATAGTCAAACTGAGTATCTTCGGGGTTTTGGCTTGTTTCAGAGACACACCACGTAATCAATTTCATAAGAAAACAATATGCAGATTTATTTACAATGAAAATAATCAGAACGTACTGACCTACTTGGAAGCCATTTAAATTTCCCCAAACTGAGACATGGATCTAATTTGACATGTGGTCTGTGTTACTTATACTTTTCATGTTTTCAAGCTTGCATCGGGAGAGAATTTTTGAGAGTAACAACAAGTCGGCGCTGAGATAGTAAAGTTTGAGAGGTTAATGGATTTAGCCAATACGATGCCAAAAGATGGAAAAATTCTGAAAGGACCCAGGACTGAACCCAGAGGAGCCCCAGAGCTCAGATCACTTATATTGTGACTGGATACTGTGCAACAAGGACCAGGAAAGCTCCCAGAGAGGAAAAAAAAAAAAAGCAAGCGAATGAAGTCTCTGAATTTTGTAGCTCTCCAAAGATAATTCTGCAGAGAGAGAGAAAAAAAAAAAGAGTTCAGGAGAAATGAGGAGTGGAGACAGAGTTGAGACGACGCAAAGAAGTCATAACAGAAGGTCAAAGCCCAGGAGAGGAAGACTGCGGCTGAAGGAGCCCATTTCAGGGAGGAAATGAGAAGAGGTTGTGGCCAAGAGAAAAAACATGGAGAAGCAAGGAGTAGCAGATCAGCAGAGAGGGACAAGTGTACATGCTGAATCACCGGGAGGATGACTAATCCGCCACCGAGACACTCTTCACTCGTACAAACTGCTGCCAGCTGAGGTATGAGCCGAGCGGAGGGAGCTGCTGATCATCTGATTAAAAATGGCAGTGATGGGAGGAGTGCAGCTGCCACCTTGCCACTGTTGGGACACTT